CCCCTGCGGTTGGTATCGTAAATCGGGTAAGTAACCGAAGTCGTATGATTCTTATCAGTTAAATCCCCGCTACGCCACTTACTTAAATACCAGCTGACTTCGGTGTCAAATCCTGACCCAAGCAACAAAGTCGTACGATCCCAATAAACTAGTCATAACCCGATTTTGAACCAAATTTACTAATATTTTCCCTATCATGTTAGGATAAAATACACGGTCGGGGATAAGTTTTGCTTTTATACTCGGTAGTACCCCCATGACCCAATTTACCCTAGGCACATAATTCCGTGCATGTACAATCCCATAGCAATTAGCTACCTACAGGTATAAACCGTTTTCCATTTTCTTAATCCCAGCCAGAGTTAGAGGGAGAAATGTCCGGGTAAAAGTGCATTTTTCTTCGATTTTATTTCTACTACTTTATTTAGCTTTAAGTCCACTTTTCAATCTTTCTACTTTGTTTACCCTTAGCTAACAGCCATCCAATTAAGCTATTTAGACCTCATAACGAGAAATGAAATACCTAAACTTAAACCAAGGTAACGATACCCAAGAAGAAAATACGCTAAGTCGAAAATTTGCTAGAATTACCAATTCTACAGTACAGTTTGATAATTTTTTTCATCGTCCTCTGCTTAAGTATGATCGATTTGTCTGATATTGTCGATTGGTCGAGGCTACAAAATTGCGGCTAGATGTATTCACTTTATTCTTTGCATTCGCCCTTCAGAGTGATGTTCGAAATGGGAAGTCTGCAGCTCTATGCTTTGACCTTTTATCTGACAAATGTTAGCAATGAAAAAGTGCTCGGTGAAAGATTAAGTGCCCAGCGGCTAGTTTATTATCGGAGTGTTGAAAGAGTATGTTTTTGCTCTTTCACACATGTTCTTTCACGACAAGACATGAATGAAAAATGAAATATTAGAACGCATGAATGAAAAAAGAAATTAATCATTTGCATAGTTTCGCGCCCTTTTCCGGGCTCTTTCACAATTTTCCGGGCTCTTTCACAACTTTCCGGGCTCTTTCACAATTTTCTGGGCTCTTTCACAATTTTCTGGCAAAAACATACTCTTCAACAGTTAGAACATAGTTGAAGATGGCCTCGGGCATCTTTCAACTATGTTCTAACCACTACGAAGATACATTCGATAAGACGAGGGGATACATTCGATAAGACGAGGGGATATATTCGATAAGACGGGATGCTTCACAACGTCGGCACAGAAGCCAAATACGCTGAAATTAGAGAAAGTGTTTCTTTTTGCTTTTTTTATGCGTTGGCCGGTGTTTTTTATTTGCCTTGTGTGTAACTTTCATTCGAAAATTATTATTTTTGTGTTTGTTATCAGTGGGAAGCCAAAAGATAGGAGTCGCTGGGAAAAAAAGACTCTTAAGTATGTGCGCGTCCTATTTTCCTGCAATGAAACAGTCCGATTTTCCTGCAATTTGTCTTGAGCGCTTGGGCTTCGTGCTGAGTTGAGTGTCTTTGATTTTGACCAGCACACGTCAAATTTAAGTCCCATTGGGGATCATTGGGTGTAATATAAGTGTTTCTTTTTCGTTGATTCGGTGTGCCTGCAGTGAAGAAAAGTTCGCATCTCGGGGCTGAACATCTAGGTTGTTTGCTCCAACTTGCAGCACTTTATTACGCAGAACCTCTGCCGAACATACTGAAAAAAAGTGATTGACCCCGGCCTGCGTTCATTGGTAAGTAGCTTTTTTATTGTTGTTTTTATGGGACATAAAATTCGATTCTCTTTTTTTGTGAATTTGAGCGTTTTTCATCCTTATCCTCAAATTTAGGACAGTTAACGAGTTTAAATCGTTCAAAAGCGAATATCAATTTGCTGCAGCGGTCTGCAAAGAGACTCTGAGTAGTCGAAGTGAGTAGATATTGAACTGAGTAGCCGAAAATGCATCAAAGCTTTTAGTAACCACGACAGTAAGCCGGACTTTTTTGGCCGTTTTTTCAACTTAATTTCTTTAGATGTCCAAATCTCATCTTCAGCAGAAAGGCCACCTTCCTTAGACTGGTTGAAAGCATCCATGTTGTCTCTCGCTGCAGCTGATAAAGACTGCTGGTGGACGAATTTTCCTTGTTTGGCGAACATTTGTCTTTGGTCGAACAGTTGGAAACTTCTCAGCAGAGGCGCTTTTGTGTTTCCCACAAGGTGGTTCCATGAATTCGCTAAAAGAATACTTTATGATAGTTCTATATCCTTCCGATACGCTGGCTTGTCGGGAACTAAATTCAAGCAAACTTTGCCCTGAGATCCGCTCAGCCCCATGAATCAATAATGGATTGTTTATCCAGATTACATACCCGTTTGTTCTGCTTTTCTTAAAATCACCCATTTTCTAGCGCACGCGAAAGACATGAATTGCTTTGTTCACGCTATAAATAAACTTTTTTGTTTTTCTAGAGGAACTTGTGCTTTCAACTTTCACAACAAACGTTAAAGAAACATACAAGTCACAGTATTAACGGTTAAGACACTTTTATGATAAGTGACTTCCGCAAGACTAACAAACCATTACCTCGCCTAGCGATAAACGGAATGATGACAGTGTGGTTTTTGCGTTTGTGTCTAAAGGTGCATTTGAGGACAGGTCAACCGTGAAAGATTTCGTTGCAAATTCTTTTCAAAAAGCTGTTTCAGCTCAACAACCGCAACCAGCAGCCAGTCCGACTAATATCAGTCAAGTTCGAGAAAAAACTTTCATTTTAAGGGAATGTGTTTTAATTTGAACAACCAATGATACTGTTCGGTTTTTGTGGAAAGCTTTTCTTAACCGTGCAGAACAAGAAGAAACTTTTAAGCGTTGAACACATCTATTCACAAAATTTGAAAGCAACTGCTATATGCACTTGAACAGGCGAGCAACGTCAATCTGTAGCAAATGATTTCAGGTTTTTTTGTGTTTCAGAATAGTTTTTCTCGCGATCAAATGAATGAAATTTTTCTATATTTTAAAATGTTCAACATTTGATTTGCAAATTGTGAACGGTTGTATGCTTGTATGCAACGTTTGAAGCTTAAAGCGAATTTCTAGCTAGGACAAAAATAGAATGGCGATTTTTTTTTGTGTTTTGAGTAATTTTTTTCTCCTATTAAAGAGAATATTCAAACCGGCACAAAAGTTGATCAACAAGTGTACAGGGTTGAAATTGACCAATACCAAGCAAGTAGCTTTCGCCTTGGAAAGTAGGTGCGTAGAAAAGATTCTTCACAATGGATACAACCTGCCAACATCAGACTTGAGGTCGAAAGCAAAACTGGATAAAAGCATTGATTTGACAATACATACGGTGATAAGATTTGAAACAAAACAAGAAGCAGCGGAGAGCTTCGTGTCGGGATCTCCAGGTTGCTTGCTCCAAACTTGCAGCACCTTATCACGCAGAACCTCTGCTGAACGTTCCTGAGAAAAAGTTATTGATCCATGTGGTGGGCAACGGGCAGGATTGCCTAAAATAGCCCTATCTGGACCCGGAAGAATTTTTAATTCCCTCCCTCTTGGTTAAACTTTTTTAAAAAATGTCTTTAATCTGTTAACTTTTTCTGCTCCAAAATTCCTTAACCGTGCAGGTTAAGGAAAACGTTCACAAGAACACAAATTTTTAAACCCTGAGAAACGTTCACAAAATCTATTGCGGGAAACATGAAATTTCTTATTTTTTGCATAAATCAGTTCACAAACAGTTTTGTGCAACGTATAAAGCAGCAATATAAAGCATCCGTCTTGTACTGCTGTTTTTATTTCCAATTTTTGAGCGATTTAGTGACTATTTTTTAGTATGATTTTAGTGTGAAAATAAAATGGCCGAGCTGAAAGGAATTAAAATAGTTTACTGCTACTTCATTGGTTAAGTTTTCTTATTTTCTCTCATTTCTTCTTTTTCGAAGTTTTTAATGAAAAATGCATACCTAATCTTAATACATAGGCCTTTGGAGAGGTACTACATCCGTGTATGAATTCTTCTAATAGAGTAGAATAAGTTTAGTTAATTTTGAATCAGATATTAATTGTTTTAGTTTTTTTTTGTCTATTTTGAGACAGCTGAGCAAAATAGTCTGCACAAGCGAAGTAGTAATTGCGTGGCTTCTTGAGCATAAATGTACGGCGCAAAGGTCTTTGTGTATATCAATGCTCTCATTGTAATTTTTAAATAATTTTTTTAAATTAGATAGTTTCTTAATTTTATTGCCAGTAACTAATTTAGAGTCATGAACGTAGTGAATACTCATATACGTTTTGGTGTTTTTTTTCACGAAATTGTTCAGGCTAAAAAATCCTAGAATTCTGCATCCTCAAACTTGAGTTTTGGCTGTTTGGCTTTGTTTTCAAGTTCAGCTTATTTCCTTCGTTAAAAGAGAGGCAAACTCCACTAACCGCAAAGTTAAACTGTTTCGAAGTTTGTTTTGACAGCTAATTAAAAAACGGATATGTGAAATAAGCTAGGACGAAAACCTTCCTAAGACTTTAGAGACAAAATTGAGTTCATATCACGATACATTTCACATGAAGCTAATATGAAAATCAAGGATACTGTTGCATACTACTGTTTTCGCTGCTGAATTAAGGGTAGAAAACAAGTGATATCGCGGAGCTTATTATGTTCATGAGAAAAATAATGAACTCCATGAGATCGTTTTTAGACCGCGATAAATATTTAAATGCAACATGATTCTAGTATCGCGCTAAAATACAGGAGAAATAAAACAAGGTTTTTAAAATGTGTTCTATATGTTTTAAGTCATGTGTAACACATAGGCCATGTCATTAATTTGGCAACCCTGTGTTTATCTTCTTGGCTATAGTTTGAGTGAGTCTTTTGTGTATTACGGCACAAAAGTACTAAATTGATAATGGAGCTTCTGCTTCAATGAAATTCTTGTTTTTTTTTTAATTCGAGAAGATGTAATACCTGAAAATCAGATTCGAGAACTATTATGGAATTTTCAAATTAACACAAATATCAGTTTTGGGCTGTGTAACAGAAAAGACTCGTTTTAGCCTCTCTTCAGATATATGGTGGTGTGGATCAGAAGTGCCGGAGCATTTCACTTAAGACATCGGTTGCTACCCCAGATATTAATTGCAGTCTTTATCAGACTGAGAAGTTCTGTTTTGCGGAGGAGTCTAGCCTTATCCAAACTTGGAAAAAAGCAAATCACCTGGACTAAAAATTCTAGACAGGGACTACCAAGTGGTGTTTGTGGAATCGCAGCATCGGCTGCCTGGTTCACATGTTTGTATATCATCTTTTAGTCTGAGCTCATAGTTTAGAGTTACGCTTTCGATTTCAAAGAACATTAATTTGACACCTGTCAACAATTCGAGGTCGATTCTGGCGTGTTTGTGTGTTCAAGTTAATTCCAGTAAATATTTGTGCTTATATGTGGTCCGTCGATAGTTGCAATTATTTATAAGGGCATTACCACCGGTTAGTAGACTTTTTCTTTGGCTGTCAAATTTTTTTGTTCGTGATTCTTCGTCAGTTGGATTTTTTTTCAATTTAAGAATTTTGAAGCAACCAAGTCAACCAAAACCGAAATACTGAGCCAAAAAACCTCCATCAATTTTCTCATTTATTCAGTTTAAACTTGACTAATGCCCCGTATAAATTAACTAACACCCTATGAAAAGAGTTCATTGAATTGGTATTAAGCTCAGAGCGTGTTACAAAAGGCTTTGTCTGAAGGTTACGAGCTCTATATCAATCAGTTTACCTCGTATTTAGACTTGTGATTAAACTTGAGAGATCAAATGTCTTGTAATCGAGAACGAAACTTTTTTCCCGTAAACAAATTTGTAAAACAACATTGAACTTGCTTTATTATTGAACCTTAACTTTCAGGATTCTCTCACTTGGTCTGGAGGAAACGCGGTTGACTTTAATCGCTAAGGTCTGAGTCTCGGCCGTAACTTAAATTCTTTTTTAAGCATGTAGAAAAAGAAAATTTTGGAAGAATTGATTTGTTTTTGTCTGCTTATGTTTTGTCGGCTTATTTGCCACAGCACGCATTTTTCTTGTGTTGTAAGCAGGGAGCGGATAATAGTTGCTTTCAAAAAGGCAAAAAAGTTACTGAGAAGTTGCTCAAAATTGACTGGAAAAGTTGCTCAAAAATTTGGTAAAAACTTGCAGAAAAACGTTAAATTTACAACGTTTTGTTACAGTAGCAGAACATAAGTTGGCGTACAGTTTTCTCCGTCATTGCTTGTCTGATATCTGTGTGAACATGTGTGTATGCGCTGAAGTTGCGCTCGACCTCAACCGCCACAATTGGTGCATGAGTGCTACCCACCCTCTGATCGACAGTCCATGACTTGATTATACTTCCATCAGGAATAGCAGTTCCATTGGCTACACATCGATTCTGCGCGTCAGTTGTTTCATCAATGCTTGCCCACAGGTTCTTGTCCATAAGTTTTTCTTTCAAAGAATCAAACTTGGCCTTATAAATATCACCAAGATAGTTCTTCCGCAAAGTCGACTCATCGGGGGTTGACTTTTTCGTATACTTGAACAAGAAGTCTCTCAAAGCTGGGTTACTCAGTTTTTTGAAAGGAATATTGGCACTTACGAAAGCTGAGCACAGATCGGACGTGTACTCGTCTTTTCCGAAAAAGTTGATATTGTGAAGTTTATTGGAAAATAGATAGTTATAGGGAAAAACAACAGAAAAGTTGGAAATAGTTGTTTTTAGTTGCTAAAACTATTATCCGCTCCCTGGTTGTAAGTAATTTTCATGTTGTTGCAACTGCTGTTAAATTACTCCTGTACTTTGTAATTTTACTAATGCTGATTGTGTATATTTATCCTTTTTTTCCTTCGAAAGCTTTAATCGACCTAATGGTTTCAGCTCATGTTTTACTGGACCAGTCGATATATTTTGTGTCGTTTGAAGGGCGAAAGTTGACTATTTTATGGTGTAGAAATTCAATTTTTTAAACTTAATTATTCCTAAACTTAAATTTACTGTAAGACAAATTCTTATGGCTTGTTTTTAATTTTCGACTCAATGGGCGTCTGTGCACGCATTGTCAGCTTAGTGGCCGCTCGTTTTATACAAAAATTTATTAATGCTGGCGATTTTGTTAGTCGACTGTTTGTCTGAAATTCAGTTTTCCATTTTTTCGAGAAACATTTTTTCACCTATTTTTTTCTAATTCGCTTGTATGAGTCTTGATGACAATTTTTGAAGCTGAAGCTGTTCTTTTCCTGTAATTTATAAATATGCTAGCTCTGATTTTGTTAAACTTATTTTTCCCTTTTTCACCGTTTTTTGCTGAAGGTTTACTCGGCTATTATGGTTTCGGCAAATATGACATCGGCTTGTTCATTTTATATGCGTCGTTTATAGGGCAAAATTGATTTTGTATGCTTTTTGTTTGTATCAGGAGGGGAAAATCTTCGAATGCAAAATTTTATAGTTCAAATTTTTCATGGTACTCTTGTTTTCGGTTCAAAGATTATGAATCCAAGTTTTGTCGGCAAAGATTGGGAATCCAAGTGTCGATAAATATTTCTGAATGCTAATTTAACGCTCTCGTTCGTTTTTTCGGATTTTTTTTCTCAAATTGAGCATCATTCGAGTAATGTAGATGTTTTTGCCTTTTTTTGGAAAAAGGTTTCTCATGCCAATTTCATTGGTTATTATATCGCCAATCTATGAGCAAATTTGTGTTTGGCGTTGTTGTTTGTTCAAATCAACACATTAATTCAATTGAAGATAACAATGAATGAGCCCTTTGTGAGCTAATATTATTTTTGTCAAATTTATCTTTAAATCAATCAGAGTAACGGTATAATTTGACAAGATCGATTGGTTACTTATCTGCACGCGCAAACAAAACATCATTAGGTTTCAACTGATATCAAGTAATGAATCACCAAACGTAACCCTAATTAAGTCAAACATTGATATCTCGTTTAAGCCAAGTCTGCAGAAGTGAAAATGTCTGAAAATTCAACGGCAGTTGCTATTAAAGAAGCAGACGGCTACTATGATCAGAATGACTTCCAGAAAGTATACGACACCTTAGTGAAGCACAAATCCGGTAGGTGACTAGTTATTGAACTAGAAACAGTGGGAAAAATGGGGACTCCAATTTCCATTCTAAAAAACGCAATTGAGCTGATATCTGTAAGAATCTAAAGAAAGTTTTCCCTACGTCAATCTTATTGAACAATATCTCTAAATTTTAGAGTGATTAGTTTTTAATGAATTTTCTATGCTTTTCCTTACCAGATTACAAAATTGTTCAAGTTGAAAAGTTTGCTCTTGTTCGTTGGCAGATACCTCAAATTGCGAACTACAGTGGAAAATAGCGAGAGCTGCCAGAGATCTATCGTGTCTATCTTCTACTTCGAAAGAGAGGAAGAAGGAACTCACTTATGAGGGACTGGAGTGTGCCCAGAATGCAGTGAACTCTGATGATAGTAATTTTTCAGCCCACAAGGTTGGTTAGTTTAAAACAAAAGCTGAACATTAAGTAATTATAATATTAAAGATGTTCGAATACTGTTCGTTTAACCATTCATCGATTCTAAAAGGTTGACATTGTTTTGCCGAGGTAAATTCTGCGCCTAATAGAACTTTGAGAGACTGTTTCAAAGTGGGACAACGGTGCAATAATAAATCTAAGTTGTGCTTCATCTGGGCTTCTTTTTGCAGTCCTAATCGCACGATTAGATACACCTTATATTCGTGTAGTTCTGTGGATCTTAAACTAATTGGATTGTTCGAATCGGCGAGGAAGGTAAATTCTTTCATTGTTTATTATCAGTAAGGTGCTTTAATATTTCTGGCTTTCTTGCTGTGTTTGCACCTAATAGAACTTTGAGATCTGTTTCAAAGTGGGACAACGTTGCAATAGTAAATCTAAGTTGTGCTTCATCTGGGCTTCTTTTTGCAGTCCTAATCGCACGATTAGATACACCTTATATTCGTGTAATTCTGTGGATCTTAAACTAATTGGATTGTTTGAATCGGCGAGGAAGGTAAATTCTTTCATTGTTTATTATCAGTAAGGTGCTTTAATATTTCTGGCTTTCTTGCTGTGTTTGCACCTAAAAGAACTTTGAGATCTGTTTCAAAGTGGGACAACGTTGCAATAGTAAATCTAAGTTGTTCTTTTTCTGGGCTTCTTTTTGCAGTCCCAATCGCACGATTAGATACACCTTAAGTGAGCGTAATTCGGCGGATCTTTAATTAATTGGATTGTTTGAATCGGCGAGGAAGGTAAATTCTTTCATTGTTTGTTATCACTAAGGTGCTTTAAAATTTCTGGCTTTCTTGCTGTATTTGCACCTAATATAACTTTGAGATCTGTTTCAAGGTGGGACAACGTTGCAATAGTAAATCTAAGTTGTGCTTCATCTGGGCTTCTTTTTGCAGTCCTAATCGCACGATTAGATACACCTTATATTCGTGTAGTTCTGTGGATCTTAAACGAATTGGGTTGTTTGAATCGGCGAGGAAGGTAAATTCTTTCATTGTTTATTATCAGTAAGGTGCTTTAATATTTCTGGCTTTCTTGCTGTATTTGCACCTAATAGAACTTTGAGATCTGTTTCAAAGTGGGACAACGTTGCAATAGTAAATCTAAGTTGTTCTTTTTCTGGGCTTCTTTTTGCAGTCCTAATCGCACGATTAGATACACCTTATATTCGTGTAATTCTGTGGATCTTAAACTAATTGGATTGTTTGAATCGGCGAGGAAGGTAAATTCTTTCATTGTTTATTATCAGTAAGGTGCTTTAATATTTCTGGCTTTCTTGCTGTGTTTGCACCTAAAAGAACTTTGAGATCTGTTTCAAAGTGGGACAACGTTGCAATAGTAAATCTAAGTTGTTCTTTTTCTGGGCTTCTTTTTGCAGTCCCAATCGCACGATTAGATACACCTTAAGTGAGCGTAATTCGGCGGATCTTTAATTAATTGGATTGTTTGAATCGGCGAGGAAGGTAAATTCTTTCATTGTTTGTTATCACTAAGGTGCTTTAAAATTTCTGGCTTTCTTGCTGTATTTGCACCTAATATAACTTTGAGATCTGTTTCAAAGTGGGACAACGTTGCAATAGTAAATCTAAGTTGTGCTTCATCTGGGCTTCTTTTTGCAGTCCTAATCGCACGATTAGATACACCTTATATTCGTGTAGTTCTGTGGATCTTAAACGAATTGGGTTGTTTGAATCGGCGAGGAAGGTAAATTCTTTCATTGTTTATTATCAGTAAGGTGCTTTAATATTTCTGGCTTTCTTGCTGTATTTGCACCTAATAGAACTTTGAGATCTGTTTCAAAGTGGGACAACGTTGCAATAGTAAATCTAAGTTGTGCTTCATCTGGGCTTCTTTTTGCAGTCCTAATCGCACGATTAGATACACCTTATATTCGTGTAATTCTGTGGATCTTAAACTAATTGGATTGTTTGAATCGGCGAGGAAGGTAAATTCTTTCATTGTTTATTATCAGTAAGGTGCTTTAATATTAGAATCCTCCATCCGGTGTCACAAAGGCTGTCTTGTGTCGGTCTTCCTCGGCTACAGGCACTTGCCAATACCCATCGCCAGGTCGAGGGAAGAGAAGTACTTCTGCCCGTTAAGAGCATCGAACGTTTGATGTATCTTCGGAATCGGAAATGCGTCCTTGACCGTTACATCATTCAGCTTCCGATAATCCACACAGAACCGCCAACTGCCGTCTTTCTTCGTTTGCAAGACAATTGGTGCACTATAAGGGCTTTTTGAAGGTTGGATCACCCCTTTCTCCAGCATGCTCTTAACTTCGTCCCTGATGATCGGCATCTTTGCGGGAGATGTTCGATGGGGGGGATCTTGATAGGGCCCGAGTCTCCAGTATCAATCCGATGTGTCACCAATTTAGTTTGGCCAAGTTCGGCATCTGTCAAAGCGAACACATCTCTATAAGTACTGATCAACTGTTTCAGCCGGTCCCTCTCCGTTCCTGTCACCTCGGGAGCTGCTAGTTCTAGAATCTTCTCTACATCTTCATCTAGATGTCGTTTAGCCTGTACTTGAAAGTCCATCGACCCTTCCTCTTGCATTCCCTGCACCTCATGGTCCTGACTGACGGGGGGCCAACCTTCTACAACATTCCCCATTGCATATGATGACTCAACGTTTGACCCACCAAGAGGAGTGTGTGGTTCGGTTAAGGGGGTACTGTACGACGAGTTTACGTCCCAGTAATTATCGTCTTCTGGCGGGTGTTTAGGGTATGAGGTCACCTTCAATATTTCATATTGCAGGGGAAGTATAGATCCCTCTTTCCGTCCCGTCCAGAGGTTGTCACACTGGAAATCTAACGAGCATTCATGCTCCTTTAAAGACCGAAGTCCTATGATCATTTCCGCTTTCAGCTCAGAAACCACCAGGGCTTCGACCTCATCCATTTTTTCGAGAAACATTTTTTCACCTATTTTTTTCTAATTCGCTTGTATGAGTCTTGATGACAATTTTTGAAGCTGAAGCTGTTCTTTTCCTGTAATTTATAAATATGCTAGCTCTGATTTTGTTAAACTTATTTTTCCCTTTTTCACCGTTTTTTGCTGAAGGTTTACTCGGCTATTATGGTTTCGGCAAATATGACATCGGCTTGTTCATTTTATATGCGTCGTTTATAGGGCAAAATTGATTTTGTATGCTTTTTGTTTGTATCAGGAGGGTAAAATCTTCGAATGCAAAATTTTATAGTTCAAATTTTTCATGGTAATCTTGTTTTCGGTTCAAAGATTATGAATCCAAGTTTTGTCGGCAAAGATTGGGAATCCAAGTGTCGATAAATATTTCTGAATGCTAATTTAACGCTCTCGTTCGTTTTTTCGGATTTTTTTTCTCAAATTGAGCATCATTCGAGTAATGTAGATGTTTTTGCCTTTTTTTGGAAAAAGGTTTCTCATGCCAATTTCATTGGTTATTATATCGCCAATCTATGAGCAAATTTGTGTTTGGCGTTGTTGTTTGTTCAAATCAACACATTAATTCAATTGAAGATAACAATGAATGAGCCCTTTGTGAGCTAATATTATTTTTGTCAAATTTATCTTTAAATCAATCAGAGTAACGGTATAATTTGACAAGATCGATTGGTTACTTATCTGCACGCGCAAACAAAACATCATTAGGTTTCAACTGATATCAAGTAATGAATCACCAAACGTAACCCTAATTAAGTCAAACATTGATATCTCGTTTAAGCCAAGTCTGCAGAAGTGAAAATGTCTGAAAATTCAACGGCAGTTGCTATTAAAGAAGCAGACGGCTACTATGATCAGAATGACTTCCAGAAAGTATACGACACCTTAGTGAAGCACAAATCCGGTAGGTGACTAGTTATTGAACTGGAAACAGTGGGAAAAATGGGGACTCCAATTTCCATTCTAAAAAACGCAATTGAGCTGATATCTGTAAGAATCTAAAGAAAGTTTTCCCTACGTCAATCTTATTGAACAATATCTCAAATTTTAGAGTGATTAGTTTTTAATGAATTTTCTATGCTTTTCCTTACCAGATTACAAAATTGTTCAAGTTGAAAAGTTTGCTCTTGTTCGTTGGCAGATACCTCAAATTGCGAACTACAGTGGAAAATAGCGAGAGCTGCCAGAGATCTATCGTGTCTATCTTCTACTTCGAAAGAGAGGAAGAAGGAACTCACTTATGAGGGACTGGAGTGTGCCCAGAATGCAGTGAACTCTGATGATAGTAATTTTTCAGCCCACAAGGTTGGTTAGTTTAAAACTTCTTTCAGACTGCAGCTTCATGTACAACACAAAAGCTGAACATTAAGTAATTATAATATTAAAGATGTTCGAATACTGTTCGTTTAACCATTCATCGATTCTAAAAGGTTGACATTGTTTTGCCGAGGTAAATTCTGCGCCTAATAGAACTTTGAGAGACTGTTTCAAAGTGGGACAACGGTGCAATAATAAATCTAAGTTGTGCTTCATCTGGGCTTCTTTTTGCAGTCCTAATCGCACGATTAGATACACCTTATATTCGTGTAGTTCTGTGGATCTTAAACTAATTGGATTGTTCGAATCGGCGAGGAAGGTAAATTCTTTCATTGTTTATTATCAGTAAGGTGCTTTAATATTTCTGGCTTTCTTGCTGTGTTTGCACCTAATAGAACTTTGAGATCTGTTTCAAAGTGGGACAACGTTGCAATAGTAAATCTAAGTTGTGCTTCATCTGGGCTTCTTTTTGCAGTCCTAATCGCACGATTAGATACACCTTATATTCGTGTAATTCTGTGGATCTTAAACTAATTGGATTGTTTGAATCGGCGAGGAAGGTAAATTCTTTCATTGTTTATTATCAGTAAGGTGCTTTAATATTTCTGGCTTTCTTGCTGTGTTTGCACCTAAAAGAACTTTGAGATCTGTTTCAAAGTGGGACAACGTTGCAATAGTAAATCTAAGTTGTTCTTTTTCTGGGCTTCTTTTTGCAGTCCCAATCGCACGATTAGATACACCTTAAGTGAGCGTAATTCGGCGGATCTTTAATTAATTGGATTGTTTGAATCGGCGAGGAAGGTAAATTCTTTCATTGTTTGTTATCACTAAGGTGCTTTAAAATTTCTGGCTTTCTTGCTGTATTTGCACCTAATATAACTTTGAGATCTGTTTCAAAGTGGGACAACGTTGCAATAGTAAATCTAAGTTGTGCTTCATCTGGGCTTCTTTTTGCAGTCCTAATCGCACGATTAGATACACCTTATATTCGTGTAGTTCTGTGGATCTTAAACGAATTGGGTTGTTTGAATCGGCGAGGAAGGTAAATTCTTCCATTTTATATTATCAGTAAGGTGCTTTAATATTTCTGGCTCTCTTGCTGTGTTTGCACCTAATAGAACTTTGAGATCTGTTTCAAAGTGGGACAACGTTGCAATAGTAAATCTAAGTTGTTCTTTATCTGGGCTTCTGTTTGCAGTCCCAATCGCACGATTAGATACACCTTATATGTGTGTAATTCGGCGGATCTTTAATTAATTGGATTGTTTTGATCGGCGAGAAAAATAAATTTTTTCATTGTTTTTTTTTATCAGTAAGTTGCTCTAACTTTTCTGACTTACTTGTACACTTTTCTGTTTATTGAGAAGAGTCAATTCATTGCTCAGTTGTTTTAATCTGCGCCTAATAGAACTTTGAGAGGCTGTTTCAAAGTGGGACAACGGTGCAATAATAAATCTAAGTTGAGATACAGCTGGGCTCAGTTTTGCAGCCCTTGTCGCATGGATAGATACACTTAGTTTTCAAATAATTGAATGGATCGATGAGTATTAGTATTCTTCAGTTTATTGGATTTGACAACAAAACAAAACTCTGGAACTGTTTTTTCCCTCAGGCAAGTTTCTTCTAATTTTTTTGATTGACCTCTTTGCTCTATTTTTTATGCGACATAAAATAAATCAACTAGTCCAGTTATTTCAAGTCTGCACCTAATAGAAATTCGAGATCCTGTTTAAAGTGCGACAACGTTCCAATTATAAGTTTAAGTTGTGCTTCATCTGGGCTTGTCTTTGGAGTCCTAATGGCACGATTTGATAGACCCTAAGTAAATTCTTTCATCGGTTATTATCAGTAAGTTGCTTTTATTTTTCTGATTTACTTGCTGTACTTTTTTCTTTTTACTAAGGAGAGTCATTTTATTGCTGTTGTTCTTTCTATGTGCATCTAATAGAACTTTGAGCTCCTGTTTCAAAGTGGGACAACGTTGCAATAATAAATCTAAGTTGAGATACATCTGGGCTTCTATTTGCAGTCGTAATGGCACGATTAGATACACCTTATATTCAAGTGCTTTGGTGGATTTTTAATTGATTGAGTTGTTTGAATGAGCGAGAAAAGTAAATTCTTTTTGTTTATTATCATTCAGTTGCTTTAATTTTTCTGGCTGACCTGATGTGTTTTTTTTTGTTTTTTGTTTACTGAGAAGAGTCAATTTTTTGCTCGGTTGTTTCAATCTGCACCTAATAGAACTTTGAGATCTGTTTCAAAGTGGGACAACGTTGCAATAGTAAATCTAAGTTGTGCTTCATCTGGGCTTCTTTTTGCAGTCCTAATCGCACGATTAGATACACCTTATATTCGTGTAATTCTGTGGATCTTAAATTAATTGGATTGTTTGAATCGGCGAGGAAGGTAAATTCTTCCATTGTTTATTATCAGTAAGGTGCTTTAATATTTCTGGCTCTCTTGCTGTGTTTGCACCTAATAGAACTTTGAGATCTGTTTCAAAGTGGGACAACGTTGCAATAGTAAATCTAAGTTGTTCTTTATCTGGGCTTCTGTTTGCAGTCCCAATCGCACGATTAGATACACCTTATATTTGTGTAATTCGGTGGATCTTTAATTAATTGGATTGTTTTGATCGGCGAGAAAAATAAATTTTTTCATTGTTTTTTTTTATCAGTAAGTTGCTCTAACTTTTCTGACTTACTTGTACACTTTTCTGTTTATTGAGAAGAGTCAATTCATTGCTCAGTTGTTTTAATCTGCGCCTAATAGAACTTTGAGAGGCTGTTTCAAAGTGGGACAACGGTGCAATAATAAATCTAAGTTGAGATACAGCTGGGCTCAGTTTTGCAGCCCTTGTCGCATGGATAGATACACTTAGTTTTCAAATAATTGAATGGATCGATGAGTTTTAGTATTCTTCAGTTTATTGGATTTGACAACAAAACAAAACTCTGGAACTGTTTTTTCCCTCAGGCAAGTATCTTCTAATTTTTTTGATTGACCTCTTTGCTCTATTTTTTATGCGACATAAAATAAATCAACTAGTTCAGTTATTTCAAGTCTGCACCTAATAGAAATTCGAGATCCTGTTTAAAGTGCGACAACGTTCCAATTATAAATTTAAGTTGTGCTTCATCTGGGCTTGTCTTTGGAGTCCTAATGGCACGATTTGATAGACCTTAAGTAAATTCTTTCATCGGTTATTATCAGTAAGTTGCTTTTATTTTTCTGATTTACTTGCTGTACTTTTTTCTGTTTACTAAGGAGAGTCATTTTGTTGCTGTTGTTCTATCTATGTGCATCTAATAGAACTTTGAGCTCCTGTTTCAAAGTGGGACAACGTTGCAATAATAAATCTAAGCTGAGATACATCTGGGCTTCTATTTGCAGTCGTAATGGCACGATTAGATACACCTTATATTCAAGTGCTTTGGTGGATTTTTAATTGATTGAATTGTTTGAATGAGCGAGAAAAGTAAATTCTTTTTGTTTATTATCATTCAGTTGCTTTAATTTTTCTGGCTGACCTGATGTGTTTTTTTTTGTTTTTTGTTTACTGAGAAGAGTCAATTTTTTGCTCGGTTGTTTCAATCTGCACCTAATAGAACTTTGAGATCTGTTTCAAAGTGGGACAACGTTGCAATAGTAAATCTAAGTTGTGCTTCATCTGGGCTTCTTTTTGCAGTCCTAATCGCACGATTAGATACACCTTATATTCGTGTAATTCTGTGGATCTTAAATTAATTGGATTGTTTGAATCGGCGAGGAAGGTAAATTCTTCCATTGTTTATTATCAGTAAGGTGCTTTAATATTTCTGGCTCTCTTGCTGTGTTTGCACCTAATAGAACTTTGAGATCTGTTTCAAAGTGGGACAACGTTGCAATAGTAAATCTAAGTTGTTCTTTATCTGGGCTTCTGTTTGCAGTCCCAATCGCACGATTAGATACACCTTATATTTGTGTAATTCGGCGGATCTTTAATTAATTGGATTGTTTTGATCGGCGAGAAAAATAAATTTTTTCATTGTTTTTTTTTATCAATAAGTTGCTCTAACTTTTCTGACTTACTTGTACACTTTTCTGTTTATTGAGAAGAGTCAATTCATTGCTCAGTTGTTTTAATCTGCGCCTAATAGAACTTTGAGAGGCTGTTTCAAAGTGGGACAACGGTGCAATAATAAATCTAAGTTGAGATACAGCTGGGCTCAGTTTTGCAGCCCTTGTCGCATGGATAGATACACTTAGTTTTCAAATAATTGAATGGATCGATGAGTATTAGTATTCTTCAGTTTATTGGATTTGACAACAAAACAAAACTCTGGAACTGTTTTTTCCCTCAGGCAAGTATCTTCTAATTTTTTTGATTGACCTCTTTGCTCTATTTTTTATGCGACATAAAATAAATCAACTAGTTCAGTTATTTCAAGTCTGCACCTAATAGAAATTCGAGATCCTGTTTAAAGTGCGACAACGTTCCAATTATAAATTTAAGTTGTGCTTCATCTGGGCTTGTCTTTGGAGTCCTAATGGCACGATTTGATAGACCTTAAGTAAATTCTTTCATCGGTTATTATCAGTAAGTTGCTTTTATTTTTCTGGTTTACTTGCTGTACTTTTTTCTGTTTACTAAGGAGAGTCATTTTATTGCTGTTGTTCTTTCTATGTGCATCTAATAGAACTTTGAGCTCCTGTTTCAAAGTGGGACAACGTTGCAATAATAAATCTAAGTTGAGATACATCTGGGCTTCTATTTGCAGTCGTAATGGCACGATTAGATACACCTTATATTCAAGTAGTTTGGTGGATTTTTAATTGATTGAATTGTTTGAATGAGCGAGAAAAGTAAATTCTTTTTGTTTATTATCATTCAGTTGCTTTAATTTTTCTGGCTGACCTGATGTATTTTTTTTTGTTTTTTGTTTACTGAGAAGAGTCAATTTTTTGCTCGGTTGTTTTAATCTGCACCTAATAGAACTTTGAGA